AAGTTGTGCAAGCTGGGTTTGGGATACAATAAATAGACCAGTTATTTTTCAGCAGAGGATTCCTGTAGGGTAGCAGTGGAAAGACCATTGGGAAGCAGGTAAGAGCTAAGTTGAAAGAGAAATTAGGGAGTTTGGAGGGTTATTCAGAGCCTTCAAAAGCCTTTCTTAGAGGGCTATCACGAGTGAAGTTGTATATTCAAAATTATTATTTTGGTTCTGGTCTATAGGATGAAGAGGGAAGACATCGTAGCAAGGGAGACACATTAGGTTAGAGTAGACATGAAATGAATGGCTTAGATTTCAGGTGTGCAATGAAATGATAAGGACATATATAGCAAGAGTTTATCAAGTATTTACTAAGTGCCAGACATACCATTAAATGCTGTAAAATATATGAATGTGAGCGAAGGACTGAAGACTGACACATAGTAACAGGTAAGGTTAAGTCCAGGATCATTTTATAAACAACATGTTCCACATACAAAAGGAAGATCTTTAAAAAGTGATGGAACATTTATCCAACTGTATTTACATCCAGTTAGAGATGAGTTAGAGATTCGGGTCATATTCCATTTTCTATCAGTATTATATACATGTAAAACTTTTTCATAAAATAATTTATACAAGATTTTTTAAAAATTGAGTATTTTGACATATTTCCTAACACTGGCAGCTTTAGGTCAGGTGTTTATGCTTCATTAATATGTACGTTCTTTAGTTGTTTATAAATCAAATAATATTTTAATGATTTAAGGAAGATGGCTTTTTAAGAAATCTTATTGTGAATCTATAAACTCTAAGAATTCTGTCAAAAGAAAAGCTTTTAATGATGTGATTTTACTTATTTTCAGAAATTAAAGTTTTACAACAAAGAAACAACATCTGCATCATCTCATAAGTTCTTTGTTTAAAAAGCTGAATAAATTTTAGCCCCCCCAAAAAACTATTACGGGCAATTTGATTCTGGTTGATTACACAATGTGGGGTGGAGGGTTACTAGAGATTACATCCCAAGGGCTGTTTTCAATTTGTAGTTCAAGAATATCACAAGATATTTTTTAAAAAACACACAATTAAAAAATTTAAGGAAATGAAATGATAATCATTGGACTCAACTTTAAAATAAAGCAATAAAAAAATAATACAACTGTGCAATTAGACTAAGAAATACTCAAACTGGACATAGGATAAGAAGCAGCAGACTTGAAGAGTAAAAACTAAAAGTAAACAACTTCCTAGTAAAGATGTCAGTAACATGGTAAGCATAGAATAGATCATTTTAGAGATAATATCAAGGAAAAATTCTGGGGAAAAAAGATCAACCTTTGCAATAAAAAAATGTAAATAATCTTGTCCTTTAGCTTTATTTCATTTCTCCTCATTCTACTGTATTAAATGTCAGAAATTTACCTGAATAAATGTTTTGTAGGGTAGGCAACAGGTTAAGCACACGGGCTTAGAAGTCAGGTTCTTGTGTTAGGATGTCAACCCAACCACAAACTAGCCATGCGAGTTCATGTGAGTTGTTCAACCTTCTTAAACCCTAGTTCTCTCTCAAAAAAAAAAAAAAAAAAAAAAAAATGCAGACAATGGGTATCTATCCCACACGTTTGTGGCAGGCATTTGAAAGATAATTTGTTTAAGCACTTAACACAAAATTGAGTACACAATAAGAATTTAGTAAATATAAGTTGTGTTTATTATTATTTATAGAAAAAGTTAACAAATCTATCTAGTTTCCTATAAACGAACTTTCAGAAACAAATCAGCTCCTTCTTATTAAAGTTTTACTTAACTTAACATAACCTATCTTCTTCCAGAAAAGGATTTGAGGTCACTTACAATTAAAAATATGTGTTCAATATGTTATGGAAATAAGAACAGAAAAAGTTAACCTACAGTGAAGGAAGTGGAATTGAACATGGTATTTCCCAGCGGCAAATGAAGACACTGAAAATATTAAATTGTGCAAGCCCTATTTTTTTAAGATACCAATTCTTCAGGAAGAAAAATAAAAATGATACCATATTTGAATACCACTTTTTAAATTGCTCTTCCTACAAAGTTTCAGTTGATTGTCACAAAAATCTTTTGAGCCTGTTGACCCGCTATGATAACCCAAACTTATATACAAAGACATTAAGGCCTAGAAAGGTCACACAGCTTAGAGGAAACAGAGCTAAGACTTGAATTGAGGTGGTTAAAAGTATACACATAGAGATGAACTTAGCCCTGAGCTCCCTACAAGTAAAGGCAAAAGTGGTGGTGGAGCGGGAGCATGGGAAAAGCAGGGGCCATGCCTCCTGTTATCTGATAAGTTATCTAATAAAAGGAAGCATGCCTTGGGCCAGTACATACAAGCTTTTACCTTCCATTAAAACTAAGAGAAATTAGTAGTATGGATATTTATACAAGAGGCTTTAAACCACCAAGTCAACTGTGATTTTAGTAGAAGTCTTAAACAAAATGCAGACATGTTCTTTATATGTCTGTTTATTATATAGCCTGAGGGAGTAATTTTAAATTGGTTCTGTGAAGGAATTATCTTTAAACAGCAGATGGTTAGAGTAATATTTTTTAGGCAAATGGTATTCTTTTAAGAAAGATTTATTGAGAGCCTACTATGTGCCGGGATTATTCTGGCATATGACTACACAGTGATGAATGTTACGATCTCTGCCCTCAAAGGCAGAACAGTCTGGAGGAGACATTCGGTGAGAGCAAAACACCGCTTGTGGACGGATGGACGTTTGTGCCCAGGCTGCATCGGGGACAAATGGCAGCCAAGATGAATATGCAAGGCTGCCTGTGGGAGGCAGAAACTGGGAACTTCAGAAGACATTTACCAAGTGGTCAAGAGCAGAGCCAGGGTTACAGACAGAAGAAAGGACAAGTGCAAGGAAATGAGGACATGGCAGAGAGATATTCACAGAGACAAATCAGTTCGATGTCCCTGGAACTTTGATAAGATACAGAGGAGAACGGTAGGAAAAGATGTGGAAGCAACACCCATAGGTTAGACTATATATGCCCTGCAAAAAAGTGTAGGGTTTGTCTTTTGAGTAACAGAAATGTCTATTGAGCAAGGAATGAACATGATCTGATGAGGACAGAAATGAAGACTCCAAGTATTATGACAATTTTCTGGATAATCAGAGTGCCAGGTGATCCACTTTGTTAAATTACTGATTCTACAAATTTGCCAAAATCATTTTCCCTACAAAATTCAGAGAGGTTTAGAATTGCTAATTGGCTTGTTTTCATGTTGACTTTAGTGGCATTTTAAAGAGCATGCAGTGTGCTTCTGGTGGTGGATGCAAACAAATTAGGAGGTGAGGTGGATCTAATAGGTCTGGGCCAAGGAAAATGAGAAGGCAACTGGGTACACAGCACAACCCAGACTGCAATGCTGGAGAGAGATTCCTCAAGAGTGGGGGAGGGTGGGCTGGAGGGGACCACAGAGAAAGCCTAAGGGACAGGAAGACAAGATGGTGGAGAGTTGACTTGTGGGAGAAGAAACTGGGAAAACAGAGGGTTGGAGGATAAGGCTGCAATTGGAGAAGGAAAGGAAAAGTTAGGGACAGAGGCAGGGCAGGTGGAAGTCTGGGGACCATGACATCATACTGCCTCTCTGATACTTATAATCTGTACCAGACAACTGACACCAACAACTTTGTGGCAAATGGAATATTTGGCAAATCAGACCTTCGTGCATTTTATTTCCAGCAAATGGACTTTTGGCTAGTTGAATTTCTTTCCAAATGGCCAGGTTCCAGTATAGAATACTCAAGAGACTTCTAGAGCTAGAGCTGGAAGGGGACTGTAAAGGAAAAACTGGGTTCTTACAACTGAGAAACCTGAATAAATTCATAGGTGAAGAAAAGAGTTAACAATTAAGCATACTAAAAAGAGGAGGGATATTTTTATAGAAAAGCATTACAGTTTTTACTGCTATGTAACAAAAATTCCCAAAATCTAGCATCTTACCAAGGGATAAATAACATTGATATTTTTCACAAGATTGCAGTTTGGGTTTGACAGAGTCAGCTCATCACTGCTCCATGTCAACGTCTAGGGTTGGAATCAATGGGAGGCTCCCTGACTAATTACCATGTCTGGCAGTTGATGCTGGATTTTTTGGGGGAGTCTCAGGTCTTATCTACATGGCCCTCCTCATGTGTGTGGGCTACTCTGGGCACCTTCACAGAAATTAAATTGAAGGGCAAACATTTCAAGAGAAGGAACCAGATGAAAGAGGTCTTGTTTTTTCTATCCTAGCCTCAGAAATCATGCGATGTCACTTCTGCTGTATTCAAAGAACCACATAGATTCAAGAAAAGGGAGCAGGGATTCCATCTTTTACTATAAGAGTGTGAATATTATATTGTAGGAAGAGTACAAGAGATACGTATGACCACATTTGGAAAATACAATCTTCCTCCCAAGCTCACTGAGATGGCAAGAAAAAATGAGCTCCAGAACACAGCAATGAACTTGCTTTGGATAGGCAAGATGGTAAGTTTTCCTGACCAGGCCAGGAAGTCAACCCATTGTGAGCTGATTTAAGAGCAAGGAGAACCAGGAGAGCAATGCAAGCAGGTTTGTTTTGAGCTTTTATTTCCATCCAAACTTCAGACAGTATCTTAGTTTACCTTAAAGTTAAGTACAGGGAGCTACAATTTGTTGTATTTTGATTCACTTCAAAATACTTGACCCTGAAATTTTCCCTTTTTATACTACATTAGCAGGCATAGCATTATGCCTAGGATTGGTATTTGAGAGATCTAGTTTTCACCACATACACACTCTTCTTAGAAATAAAAAACAAAAAAAGGAAATGGAGTAAAGAAGAGCGAGTAATGCAACAAAGTGTCCTGTCAATTCCAGTCTGTTCTAGTCTTTCTCCAAGATCAGTCATCACTACCTGAGGTGTGAAGAGCTTGCCACATCTTTCCAATGATTAAGAAAAACCATCCTTAAATAATTGCATATTTATTGGCATTGGCTGAAAATCACCTGTGGTTTTGTCCATGACTGCGGGTGAGATTCTGCGCCCAGAGTCACGGGGGCCTCCGTTCATTGCCCACTCAGTGCAGGGAGGTGAAACCCAGGTGCCAACACATATCAAAAAATAATAATAATTGCATATTTACTAATACCAAATCTTGCCACTCAAATAACGTGAGAAATTCAAATTGCCCACAAGTAGTAACACTGATCTACTTTTTTCCTTTAATGTCTACTGTTTTCTATTCTAGGCTTAATGATTCCTGAAACACTTGTCTATTTCAGAGATATTAGAGTCAGTGCCTGTTATTTCCTTATGGCAGTTCCCAAGGAAATTAAATGCTGGCAGAAAAGGTAGATAAAGTAAGGAGAAATATTATTTTCCATATCCAACAATCCTGGAGAGAAGCAAGAGTAACCTTTTCTTAACCTGTTTCGGATGGTCAAGGCAAGAATCTGTGTTAATGGACCAATCGTTGAACTTTTGAGAAAGGTTTAAAAGCACAGAGGTTGAAAGGTTTGAACCTCCAGAGCCATATAGATCTGCTGGCAGAATTTCTAAGGAGACTGTGAGTTTAAAAGGGGAATTATGAATGGCGACAAGCAGAGCACTTAGAGGGAGCTCCAAGGTTTGATGCAATGTTTGGCTACTAAGGTACTTAGGAAAATTCTACAAATGATTTTTTTCCTTCCCAAGACAGAAGTTTATTCTACCTCAAAAAGATTAGCAAAACCTTTATATGGTCTACAGATGTTCTGCAGCTCTGTCAACTTATTTTTTCCTCCTATTACATTAGAGAAAATGTCTCCTGTTATCATAGATCAACCCTCCAATGTGAACTTCAGATCCCTGTCCTTCTCATCTCATCAGATTTTATTCTTCAATTGTCTTCCCTTTCTTGTATCTTCAACTGCTCCATCCAGACCAAGTATTTCTTACTAGCACACCAGTGCATTCTAGTGTTTTCATGTTTAAAAAATACATATATATCATTTACTCCATTTTAATTTCCACTCTTTTGCTCTGCTCCATATCATCGTCAAACTGCTTTAAAAATATGACTCCAAATCCTGCATCAAAATTTATACCTTCTATTTGTTCTTCAGCCACCCTGGTGGTATTTCCATACCTACAATCACACTGAAATTAATTTTGCCAAGGAGAACAACAACTGCCATGTTACGTATCTTACCTTTTCAGCACTCTTCTATTCTCATCCTTCTTGATCTCTCGCCAGCAGTCAATGAAGCTATCACTTGATCCTCTTTGAAACATGGCCATTGGTTCTTAATTTCTTTGGTCAGCTTCTCATACTCTCCTGACCTCCAAACATTGAAGTTCTTCTAGGCACTGTGTGAGGTCCCTTCCCTTTATGACCTCTTACGTGATTAAGATTTCCAGTTCCATCTTTATATGAACAGCTTCTGAAATTTCTGTCTCCAGCTTTGGCCTTTTTACTGAGCCAAAACTCCTTTACACAGTGGTCTATTTGACATCTTCACTTAGATGTTTCAGCAGTATCTAAATTTAAAATGCCCCAAACTAAACTTCTATGCATTCTTCTGCCTCCTAATGTACCACATTTAATTTCTCCTGTCTTAGAAAATGGTACTATGATCCATTCAGTTTCTTTTTTTTAAATTCCACCCTCATCATTTATTCCATTTCTTTGATTTTTTTTATTTCAAAGATGTTATATTAGTTGACTTATATAGTATGAAATCTTTGAAGATTGGCTTTTTTCACTCATCATACTTCTCTGGAGATTCATCCAGATCCTTGTATATATCAATAGTTCATTCCCTTTTACTACTGAGTTGATATTTCCATAGTATGGAGGTACCACCATTTTTTCAATCATTCATCCACTGAAGGACATCTGGGTTGTTTCAAGTTTTTGGCTATATGATCCATTCAGTTTCTATAAACAATGTTTGAAACTTCCTTCTCTTTCAAACCACATTAATCCATAACCAAGCCCTGTCTATTCCATCTGAGAAACATATCTTGAATCACTCTCCTTCTCTAACTGAAAAAAAGTCGCAGAAGAATTTGCATGCATTTTATTCTTTTCTTTTTTCTTTTGCACTTCAACTTCCTTAAGAAGTCAAGTTTATTTTAAATAAATTATTTAAATAAATGAATTTGATGCAAAATATTACTCTTGGCATGTTGACTATTAGTGCTTTCTGTATAAGAAACTGGTTTGTTTGGCCTTATTTTTTAAAAGGAGATCTTTTTCTCTCATAGAACTTCAAGAAATTTGTCCTGGAAATGAAGGAGTACTTTAAGATTTAAAAAGTTTCTTGCATGATGTTTCCAAAGAATAAATTTAGTTTTAAGTTCAAAAGCTGTCTGTTTCTTCATTCTGTACAGCATGAAAGTTGTATATTACTCCCCACCTCCTGAAACTTTCTGCTGGGTAGAATTAAAGGTCATTCACTTGGCCAAAAGGAAAAGTAAGCCCTACAGGTCAAATTCAGCCCACCCTTTCCCCCAGAAGTGACCAGGAAGCTTTCAATCAAAGATTTTAACAAGGAAGGAAAGAAGGAAGAAGGGCAGGAAAGAAGAAAGGAGGAAGGGAAGGAAGGAAAACAGAAGGGAAAAGAAAGAAAAAATATTTAATTAGCTAGCACACAATAACTAATAATATCTAATAGCTTGTTGGTAAAGAATTTGAAAATAAAATCTAAACAGGATAAGTTAAGTTCAGGTATCATCAATAAGGCACCTGATGTAAAAAGAAAAAAAAAGATCTCAGCAATTTATTGAACTCAAAAAATAAGGATGGCATGTTTTGTTTCCAAAATACCATTTTACTATGAACTGTGCAATTCAAGTTCATGGCATGGTGTAGAAGTGATCAAAACTGAATTTTCTTCATCATATGCCCTTAATCATAAAGAGTTTATGTGCTTTTTAAAGATGAAGAGTTTGGAATAACAAGAATATGGACACTTCTTTTATTTTAATGCATCCAGATGACTTAGTCTTAGAAACTTGAAGATATTTATTGAGCTTCTACCTCAGATGAAGGACTTTTTGGAATTAATAGGCTCTGAGAGACCCAACTTGTCAGACCCCCAGTGGCTCAGAAGGCTGTACATCCTTGTGAATATGACAAGACGTCTAAGCACCCTGAACCTGAGACTGCAGGGGAACAAAAGAGCATTGCTGATTTGTTCAAAGTGCGAGAATGCTGATTACATGTGGACATGTGGACTGAGCAGATGGCAGCTGGGGATGGTACTCACTTCCCCTGCCTGAACATTTCAGAGCTCAAAATATTCAAAAATTTTGAAAAATTAATTGATGGAAATAGCACCATAATTTTAGAAGAGATTCATCGAGATTACTGAAGACAAATTAATGTCTGTGGTTGTATTTAGAGTGAATATCCAGAGGAGTCGGAACTAGCAAACGTCTGCACTATAGGCTTAGCTCAATTTCACACAAAAAAGGAGGGCTGAGTGGATTGAACCTGCCTGGAGATAAACGATCTCTGAAAATTCAGCTTCAATGTTGCTTCGGTCCATTTGGTCAAATCCTTTACCTTGCTCTGAGAGTATATTTCTTGCTCTAGTGAATGGGGCTGATGTTCTGGACATATCCTTTTGACCAGCACTGTTGTACCCAAACCCTAGGTGGTGGTGTTGGCTACTAAGGGCATGAAACTAAAATCTTTTCCAGGTTCTTGTGCCCAATGAAGCAAGAGTTGCTTATTCTAGGCAGTTATGCCCCACCCCAATCCTAGAACAGATCACAGCCAATGACTACTGGGGGGCAAGGATAGACTTGCTCCCAGAAGCAATTTCATGTTGCAATTCATGCCTTGGAGCTCCACATGGAACACTAGCTGAAGCTAGGCTCCATCTGGAATTTCATCCTAGTTTAAATACCTTGTATTGCCTACCCTTTTTCTCTCCTTTTCTGCTGAAAAATAAATAATATCCACCTGAACTCCTGTCTCAGGCTCTACTTATAGACAACATGACCTAAAAGAGTTGGTACTAGGAGTGTTGCTAGGAAGCAGACTCTATGGTTAATATACTAGAATTGAGTCACTGGCCAGTCAGCTGCATGAGGACCCCATTGTCGGTGGCAGGTGAAGTGCCTGTGGTCCTTAACATGTTCTAACAAAATTGTGCCTGTGATTAATTGGAACAGGATATAGACAAAAGCAGAAACACTGGCTCATACAACATTATTGGTGTTTGAGGAGAAACAAGGAAAATAATTATTCTAAAGTCTGTGAAAATAGGGAGCTGTTGCCATAGATGCTTTGAAGAAAGACAAAAACAGGATCAGAGCACTCAATCACCAATTCAAAGTGTGAAGGCTTCCTTAGCAACATTTAAAGAAATTCTCATCTCCTATACAAAGATGACCCAGTTCTATGTTAAATCTACCTTCTTAAAACATTGACTGAATGAGGTTTCATTTTAAACATGTACAGCCACTATGGAAAACAGTATGGAAATCCCTAAAAAAATTTAGAGTAGAGTTACCATATGACCCAATAATCCCTCTTCTGGGTATCTACCCCCTAAAATTGAAACCATTTATTTGCAAAAATATATGCACCCCTATGTTCATTGCAGCATTATTCATAGTGGCCAAGACATGGAAACAACAAAAGTGCCCTTCAGTGGGGGACTGGATGAAGAAGATGTGGTACATACATACAATGAAATATGACTCAGTCATAAGAAAAAATCAATACTGTCATTTGCAGCTACACAGATAGATCTTGAGAATATTATGCTAAGTAAAATAAGTCAGATGGGAAAAAGTAAAGAACCATATGATTTTACTCATATATGAGATATAAAACTTAAAGCAATAAATGAACAGAAAAGACAAACACACAAGCAAAAACTCATCGACACAGACAATGGTATGGTGGTTACCAGGGGGGTAGAAGGATGGGGGCAGGCAGGAAAAGGTAATGGGGGTTAAATATATGGTGACAGATGATTTGACTTTGCATGGTAAACACACAATACAACATACAGATAGTATATTATAGAATTGGATGCTTGAAACTTACATAAATTTATTAACCAATGGCATCTGCCAAAATTTAACAAAACTCAAAAATAAATAAATAAATAA